TCTCCAAGGAAGCCATGAGGGTTGTTATCCCCTTGCTGGAGGAGGATGCTCTGAGTGCTGGCACGTCTGTGCTCGCAGCATTAACCCTGTCGTTGCTAAGCCATTGAGGTAGCAGAGCCTGATGGCCAAGCTGCTGCGCAAGGAGCAGGAAGCCTTCCATTAACCCAGGGATTGCTCGGACACAGCTCCAGCTGACAGGGAGGGGCACCGGCACCTGTCTCTGGGGTTTGATTTCTTCTTTTCCCTTCTCGGGGCAGGTGGTGCCAGCTCCTGGAGGTGTGAACCCCAGCCACGACCATCCCAGCGCTCAGGGCGGCGTTGGAGAACAAAGCTGCGAAGCACAGGGGAGGGAGGAGAGGGCTGTCCTCATCCTGCCTCCCTCTGCAAAGCCCTGGGCTGGGCTAAGCTGGGCAGCGCTCGGCTCCCCAGGGAGGAAAGCCGGATGGGGGGTTGGAAAGACCGGAGCTGCTCCACTTGGGCTGGGTGTTTGGGTGTCAGGGCAGGCCGGAGTTAAGCCGAGGGAGCTCTGTGAGCTGGGCATTAGCACTTCATTCCCTGAGCCCTTGCTGCAGCTTTTCTCCCCTCTGTGAGTGTCCAGTGGGAAACTGTGCCAAGGTCACAGCGAGCTGCCGGGGAAGAGGGGCTGCCATCCCTGGGACCCCGTAGGTGCTGAGGAACATCTGGAGGTGCTGCCCCTTCAGCCACGTCTCCAGCTGCACAGAGAAACTGCCCGGAGGTGAGGGATGGCAGGACACTCCCCACGGCTGCGCCCAGGGCTTCAGGAGGCCCAGTTTCCTGACTCCCACAGAGCAGAGGATGCAGCTGGCTGCAGCCGCTCCCCTGGAGCTAGACCAGGCAAGGCTCCAGGAAAAGCCCCAGGTGACAGAGTCGGGCAGCTGGAGCTCGACTCGCCGCTGCGGCCTGAGCTGCAGAGGTTGCAGCGCTGGGTTTGTCCCCACTGGCTGGCAGGACGGCTGCTCTGGGGCTGAGCCGCGGCTGGGGTGGAGCAGCCTGGGCTGTGATCGTGGCTGGGAGTCACGTTTGGGGTCTCCTCTCTGGCTGGGAATTAATGCCGAAACGCCCATGCCGCAGGCTTCAGGGGCCTGGCTTTCCCTCTTCGCCTCGTGCGCCGGGCACCAGGAGAGTGGCAGATGCCGCTGATGCTTTATTTTTCACCTCAAAGCCAAGACTTTCCCTTCAGTCATTCCAGGTGCTTACTCCAGGAATTACCAAAGGAAGCGGGGGGGCAGCCGTGGGCATCGTCAGCCGAGGGCTTGAGAGGGTGGCAGCAGAAAATAGGGCAGTTTGAAGGCAGATGGCAACCCTAGTGGAAGCAGCAGTGAGGGATTAAGAGGAACATAGGAGAGCTTGTGCCTTGGGAATTCGTGTCCTCAGGCGACTTCAAAGCGCCCGTTAATCCTCACACGCCTGCCCTGCTTCACCCCGCGCAGGGCCTGTTCCTGGCGTGCTGGTGGGGTACACGGCAGCTGGACTTACTGTGAAATCCTCCCGGGTGTCTGGTCTCGCGGGGCCGGACGCGCTGCGGGCTCGGCGGCAGG